TGAACTGTGATGCCATGACCCTCTACCCAGGGCGACAGCTTGAGTCTCTGTCTCAAAAAATACAAAAATAAAAGATGAATAAATAACTTTGAATTTATGATTTGGAATTCTAAACTTACTTGTATAAGGTTATGCTCTCCTGTTTTTTTTTTCTTTAACCCAGGCTCCTCAAACTACAGCTCGCAGGCCACATGCAGTCCACCTAGGACATTTACCCGGCCTGCCGGGTGTTTTTGCCGCCACTGCCTGTCCTGCTTAGCAGCCAACTTGTCCTGCAGTCCGCAGTCCAGCCCTCCAATGGCCTGAGGGACAATGAACTGGCCCCCTGTTTAAAAAGTTTGAGGACCCCTGCTTTAACTCATTGTTTATTTTCTTTTCCTGTGCAAGTGTCAGTTTAGTATTTGAATGGAAATGAGCTTTTAGGTCATAGGAAGAATTGTGTCATATCTTTCTTAGAATGGACATTTTTGTTGTATTTCAACCTTGCCCTGTGAGAGTTCTCAGCTTCTTGATTTTAGAATGTGTGTCTCCTTATTTTCCACTTTCATGACTATCTTAGCAGGAGTTCATGAGCTCTGTTTAAATGTGGTATTTCTTAGATAGTAAGATTAAATTGTGGAATCTTAGTAGCTATATTTCAGTTTTTCTTGTCATTTCTCAGAATTCACCACTTTTTCTACTCGTTCTATCTACAGAAAGCATAAATTAAAACATGAAATTCTGATATCAGATAGCTCAGTACCCAGTAAGAAAGTTGATTCCTTTGTTGGACAGAATCCACTGTTAGAAAGTTCATTCTTGGGATGATCTGAACTCTCTTTCATTCTTTATATTTTGGCCCTGGTTCTTTCCTTTGGAGTTACATAGAGCAAGTCAGTTATGTTGCTCCATTAGCATTTGCCTGCTTAGTTTACCTGCCTCTAGTTTCCTTGGTCCTTCATATGACATGGGTTTTGAACCCTTTTAGCACCATCCTAAGGAATTGTCCTTCCTGAGTGATTCATTTGTTAGCATTTCTCTTAAAATGCAGTAACCCAGAGCTAGTAACTGACCATGTTTCACTTAAATTTGTCAATGTGAGAGGCGGCCAGTAAAATGCAAAAAAATATTTGTATTTTAGGCTCGTCCGTATCATTTATTGACTCTATACTACTTGGTTAATTACTTTGAACCCTGTTTTCCTCAAATAGAATGATTAGGTGATACTGATAAGAGGTCATTAACAAAGCTTTCTTGATCTAGGTAATTTAGATATTAGTAAAAAGAAGCAAAAATATTTTTCTTTCATGAAAAGCAAAGTGTTTCAGCCTTCATGCTAAGTATCAATTCTTGCTAATGTTGACTTTAGTCAACTAATGTAAAAATCTAATGTAAAAGTCTAAGATCATTTCATTGACATTGTAGCTAGTGTTACTTATGTACAGGTAATAATATCTTGGGTAAGGTTATCTTTATTGCCTGAAACTAACAGTTTTTTTTTTAATTGTTTGGGATTCATTGAGGGTACGAAGAATTATGCTTTTAGTATACTTTTGGTTATACTGCTTGCATTTGTCAAGTAAAGTCCCTCTTATAATTGTGTCCCACCTGCAAGAGGTGGGCCATACACCATGACCCCCACCGTCTTCCTCCCTCCTCCCCTCTCCCTGCTCCTTCATTTCCCCTGCCCCTGTTCCCTCATTCTCCTACCCCCCACCTTGTATTAGATCACCTACTGCCTTCATATTAGAATTGAGTACATTAGATTCTTGCTTCTCCATTCTTCTACCAGTTTCGTTTCTTTTCTTTTTTTTTTTGAGACAGAGTCTCACTATGTTGCCCTTGGTAGAGCGCTGTGGCATCACAGCTCACAGCAACCTCAAACTCTTGGGCTTAAGCAATTCTCTTGCCTCAGCCTCCCAAGTAGCTGGGACTTTAGGTGTCTGCCATAATGCCTGGCTGTTTTTGTTGTTGTTGTTGCAGTTGCCATTGTTGTTTAGCTGGCCTGGGCCGGGTTTGAACCTGTCACCTTCAGTGCATGTGGCCAGTACTGTAACCACTGTGCTACAAGCACCACGCCAGTTTCTTTTATTTTTTAATTTATTTTGATTTATTTATTTATCTTGAGACAGAGTCTCAAGCTGTCATCCTGGGTAGAATGCTGTGGCATCATAACTCACAGCAATCTCCAACTTGGGCTCAAGAGATCCTCTTGCCTCAGTTTCTCTATTTGTTGTTGGTTTGGGGGGGGGGTTGCAGTTTTTTTTGGCCAGGGCTGGGTTTGAACCCACCCCTCAGGCATATTGGGCTGGTGCTCTACTCCTTGAGCCACAGGCGGCGCCCCAGTTTTTCTATTTTTTAGTAGAGATGGAGTCTCACTTTTGCTCAGGCTGATCTTGAACTCGTGAGCTCAAGCTGTCCACCCGCCTCAGACTCCCAGAGTAACAGTTTGATTTATGTACTGCAATTAATCTAGCTAGTTAATGATATCCCTCTTCTAATTTAAGTATTTGTCACCTATTTTACTAATTTCCTGGTGTAACCAAATTAATTATTTAGTTTTCCTTAATCTTTTTTTTTTTTTTTCCTCGAGAGAGATGCTTACTCTGTTGCTAGAGTGCCATGGCCTCAGATTAGCTCACAGCAACCTCAGACTCCTGGGTTCAGGGACCTTATGCCTCAGCCTCCTGAGTAGCTGTGACTACAGGTACCCAGTACAATACCCGGCTAATATTTCTATTTTTAATAGAGATGGGGTCTTGCTCTTGCTTAGGCTGGTCTCGAATTTCTAAGTTCAAGCAATCCATGGGCCTCAGCCTCCTAGCATGCTAGGATTACAGGCACAAGTACCTGGTCCTTAGTCTGTTTTTACCATTTTGATTTGAAACAGTTCTCAGAATCTTCTTTGGAGTTTCATCTATACTGTTGAGAAACTATGGACTCTTAGGCAAATTGTTTAACTGGCTTATACCTATGGTTCTTCTTCTGTTCGGTGAGAAGCTTTTACTACCTTATTCTCCTCTTTCTTTTTACCCTACTTTTTCCATACATCAGATAGAAGAGTCATCTATAAGTGAAATCAGATCATGTCATCCTCCTTCACTTAGAGTAAAATCCACACTCACCTCTGCCTCCAACCTCTTCCTTCTGCTTAATACCTTTTAGCCACACTGGCTTACTCAGGTTTTTTGATAGTACTTCAGTTTGTAATTATGTGTGTTTTTGCTTTCTTTACTTGTTATTTATTTTCTTCACTGGATTAGATGCTTAATAAGGGCAAATAATGTATTTTCATTTACTGCTTTAAAACCTAGTGCACAGTAAAATGTGTTATACACAGTAGATGGCTTGAATATTTACTGTTCTTAAAATCTTATGATTCCTATTATTTTCAGATAGGTGTGCAGCTTTTCCTTTCTTTTGTGTAGTCTTTATCAAGTCCGTTCCTGTCACTTGGACATTCATACCAAAATTAATTTTAATTTGGTAAATCTCAAATGACAATGCCATATGAAGACTTAAACCCAGATATATCTGTTTCTGTTTCGTTCTGCTTTTGATTTATTTCTAGGATAGTTTTTAAGTGATTATACAGTGTTCCCAGTGATTTGTTTGAATGTCACTTTGTAGCTTTGGCCTATATATAATATAAAATATGATTCTAGATTGAATTCACTTTAAATTTGTTAATGTTATGTTTGTCATGTGTGTATGCTGGAAATTTACCCCTTTTAATAGTGCCAGTATTGATATCTGTCATAAGAAATGTAAGAATTGTCCTGAATATGTCTGGGCAGTGCAGAAAGAATTAATTGTTCATTTTGGGGGGCAAGTCACCAGAATACTGTTTGGTTATCTACCTAGTAACTTAAAAGAACTGCAGCATCTGCCAGAGGGAGCCAGTTAGTCTTCTCCAGCACTTCTGATTGAGCCTTTTGTCTGTCTCAGGAAAAGAGAAGAGGGATTGGAAAGTATCCTTGTGTTTTATTGTCTGTTTTCAGATTGACATTTAGGAGATGGACTCATTTCGACCATTTTCCTCCTTCATTTTTATATTAGACAGTAATTGTGGGGCTAAATCTCTGGGGAGATTCTTGGGCTCCACTAGTTTGACTATCTTTAGCAAATGAATACATTTCATTTAAAGCTCTTTAAAACTGAGTAAATCTTGGCAGAACCCCATAGAAACCATAGCATTGATTTTTTTTTTAAATCACCATATTATTAAATGAAAAATTTGGAGTAAATCATATTGCTTTAGTGGTGTTGGTAACACTATTTAGAAAAGGTTCTTATTGCTATTGTCTTTATGATTTTACCAAATGACTTTATGATGTGCCCTAAGGACTTTACTAGGAAGAAACTCTGAATCTGAAGTAGGTACTTAGATTAATGGGAAAAGGCTTTGGAAAATGCATTACACAGTCTCAATTCTTCCCTCATCTGCAGCCTTGTTGTTGGACCCTTTGGAGAGTCTAATAGTTGTACCATTCACAACCTGTTCTTAAGCTTTAAGGGACTCAGCCCCACTTTAAAATGTGAAGGGTGTAGGTTTAGGGAAGCAGGAAGACCTGAGCTAAAATCTCAACCCAGGCATTTATTAATGAGCTTAATTAAGTTACTTAGCCTTTCTGAGTTTCCTTATGTTTAAAAAGAAGGGAAAATACTATCTACTTTGTAGAGCTGTTGTATTAAATGAGATTATGTATATGACTGGTTAGAGTCTTCAAAGGTAGGCTTTCCTAATCTGTTGGGATCTAATAAGGATCATTTTAATCTTACCTGCACTGTCCATCCCCCTATGAATGTAGATGTGAAGTTTTTAATAAAATTGACCAGTCCACCTATTTCTGGTGAATTAAATGGAGGAGATGGCATTTGAATAGAATAACCAGAAAATACTATCTTAAAATAATAAAAATTATTTAAAAGTGATTACATTATAATGCTTTGAAAGCTTAATAATGTTAATTAAAATTATCCTATTACTGACCAGCACTTTTTTTAATATTTATCTCCAGGGAAGGAAGAATATGCAAGATGGTGCAAGTGATGGCGAAATTCCAAAATTTGATGGTGCTGGATATGATAAAGATCTGATAGAAGCCCTTGAGAGAGACATTGTCTCCAGGAATCCAAGCATTCATTGGTTAGAGTCTTTTAATTTAGAATTAGAGAAAACAAATTATGTGCTGGCTTCGTATCCATGAATCTTTCTATCTTTCATAATATGAGAGTACAGAATTGATGGACAATTCCTCTGTCAGAATATAACCAAGGACATTTTGCATGTTAATTTGATGTTCATATAACTGACAAAAATTGTTAATTGAATTGAATAACATATCCTAATTAATAACCATAGTATGTTTTCACTAATCTTTTTATGCAGTAAGAGTTAGAACAGTGTTCTTAATGAAAGAATAATTTTATAAGTAAAAAAATTTAAAAGAATAATTTTGACTATAAATCAAGGTATCCCTGAATAGACATTGTGAAACTTTGTTGTTCTTCCAAAGGGATGACATTGCAGATCTGGAAGAAGCTAAGAAGTTGCTAAGGGAAGCTGTTGTTCTTCCAATGTGGATGCCTGACTTTTTCAAAGGAATTAGAAGGCCATGGAAGGTAAGAATTTATTAAAATAGTTTCAGTATAAGAATGATAATGCATGATGATAAAAAGCAGTATTGGTTTAGTTTTTTGCGTTTAACATGGTTTGCAAAGATTGGGGGTGGCATACCCAGAACTCCTGGATTTGAATTTGTAGTTGAGATGTGTAATAACTACATGATGGGAGAGATGGACTTAGAATGTAGACATTAGTCTTTAGGTAAAGTTAATTCCCTCAGAAGTGCTGAGCTGAACACATCTACACATTTTGTAGATGTCTATTTCTATAAATAAGAAGTTTAGAAAATTATACAGAAATAGTAAATAGTCTTGAACAGTAAGAATTTGATCTGATATATACAGTAGAACCTCCTTACATTGACCACCTCCTTAAGTTGACCTAATTTTCATAAACCAGACATGAACTTTGTTAATTATTTTGATCATTGTTTAATCCAGGCTTGGTATAATTCTCAGACATAATTAGAATATTTGTTTCATTCCAGTTTGCCTCTGGCTTAGTGCTTAAAGCCCAGGACTAGTTCCCCCGAAGGCCAGTGTTTCCATTTTAGCATATTAAAAACTCTGACAAGCTGCTCAGCAGCTTCCATTATCCTAGCTGTCTGGAACTTTTTTTGGTCACAGACATATGAAAGTCTTCAGTGATTTTGATTAGTAGAATGAAATGACAGCATGATCTTACTTTGCCCTTCTGATTAAGCTTGGTCCATTTCTGCATTTAATACCTCCTTCCTCTATTTATATGCCAAAAACTAGAAGGAAGGAGAAATTGTGTATTTATATCAGTAGGTTAGAACACGCATGCATTTTAACATCTTCTAACAACTTGGTAACTTTTACATGCTGGGTGATGCCTGTGGCTCAAGGAGTAGGGTGCCAGCCCCATATACTGGGGGTAGCGGGTTCAAGCCTGGCCCTGGCCAAAACTGCAAAAAAAAACTTTTACATGGCTTCATTTGTTCTAGAGTCACCTTATTTTGGGGCTGTATTGTATAAACATTTTTTCCTCTTACCTTAATTTTAAAACAACATTTAAAAGACAAGGTTTTAAGTAGGTATTTAAAAAACATAAATCATGTATTCTTATATTGTTTTTGCTTTATATATTTTAATGAAACATTAGTTATAATGACCAATGTTATAATTCAAAAGCATTTGTATGCTCTAATAAAACCTGTGTGCATATAAAGTAACACATAATATACCAGGTTAATAAAGAATCTTAATTTTGGCTTTGGCATTTATAAGACTAAAAATACATGATTGAATTACATAGCTAATACTTTAGGTCCTTTCAGAAAATTTAAAATTCAGTGTTTCCCAGACTCAGTTTCTTTTTTTAGTACCAGTTTTATCACCAATTTGTATATTTGAATCATAGCAAAAAAAACCAAACAAGCAGAAATGCTTTGGGCAGCTGAATAGTAATGCCCACCTAGTCCTCTGGTGGTCGTAAGGTTAGTTTTGATTCCTTCTGAATTTGTTGATCTGTCAGTTGAAGTTTTTAGCCTCTTTTATATGTTATCCTTTACCTTTGATTTAATCCATGAGAGGGCAGTGTTTAAGGTATTTTTCTTCAGATTACTTAATTATCTAGGAATATTATAAGATTTGCTTTTCCATTTATCAAGTATTATAGAGATTGATAAAATTGAAATAAAGAAAATGAACATTATTTCAGATTATTACACTGTAGCTTAATTATGATAAAGTTTGTTCCCTTCCAACCTAGCATGTTATAGGAGACAGTGTATTCTGGAAGCCATTCCCAACTTCAAACATGAAAAATTAAAAGTAAGATGTAGGAACTTTTGTTGTACCAGATTAGGATTTTGATGTGAGATCCATCTTCAATTCTCTTAGATGGGGTAGCTTCCCCTGTAAAGAGCTTACCAACAGAAAGTAATGTTTATGTCCCTCACGGAAGGTGAGGTTCCCAATCAAATGTCACAGTGGATATGTGGGGAGAGGGGTCAAAAGCTTCTAACCAGCCAAAGGTGATTGGACTTTGCTGTCAACATTTTTTGAGCCTTCAAAAATTCACTATACTTAAGAATTTTTATATATTTTTAAGAGGTCAGCAGCTGTTTTTTGAAAAACTATGTCATTGTTATAAAAATATGGTCTGACTTTATCAGTTTGTTTACTCCTTGCTGTGCTTTTTGTAGTATTTATTGGCAAACTAGATTTAAAAAGTATAAACATTTATTTGTAAAGAATCTTATTCCTGAGCTAATAAACTTTTTTGTTTAGTAGAGTGAAATTCTGGAGTATAGCATTATTATTCTTTTTTTTAGAGGTTATATGAGAAAATTTTAAATATTTGTGAAATTATTTCCAAAATAGGTCAATAAAATTTAAAGAAGATGAAAATAAAGAGGCCATAGAAATTTGTTAAGTTTATAAAATTGTCTTAATATTCAAATCACAATTTGACAGACTAGAAAATTGAGGTGCCGATAGATTGACAGCCTTAAAAGGCCTTTTAGAATGTTTAAAATTGATCCTGTTTTAGCTTCTTAGGTGTGTGTATGCCTTTCTCTCCTCAGCACACTTTCTCCTGCATACTGTAGTGTCATTCCTCTATTTATCCATCAGTTTCTTTTTTAGCCCTATTATATGTAAGGTTCCTTGTTTTTTAAGCCACTGTTCGGGGCTGTGAAAAGTCCTACGTGAAGAATTAGGAAGTAATTCTGTATTAGGTAACAGCAGAGCCTAATGGGTGCTACATATGCTCGGAGAGCTCAGCAAAGAGCAGGCATGACCTGATTAGTGGAAGCTTCATACCTGAGGATGTGGAATTTGAGCTGGGATTTTCAGGGCTGCAAGAATTTCAGTATGTTTGAGAAGATGTTTCAGATAATGTAGGAGCTTAGGAGGGATGAAGGCCATGAGCAGTGGAAAGTAGTTAAGAAAGTTAGTGTATTTGGGAAATAGACACCTTGGAGTTTTGTAAGGAAAATAGCATAGCATATTTAGTTAAGACCCTGGACACAGATAGTTTGGGTATGTGTGAATTCTAGCTCTTTCCCACTGACTAGCTCTGTGATTGTGAACATGTTACTAAACTTCTTCATGCTTCAGTTTTCTTATCTATAAAATGGAAATAATAATAGTTATAGGAGAGGTCAAAAAGAGTTAATGAGGCCTTTGATCAGTATGTGGCAGTAGCACTATGAAATATTAAATGCATAAAATAAGTTAGTGGGAGATTCATATGAAAAGTTAGGTTGAGCCAAATCGTGTTTGCCAGGTGTTTGATCCTTTTCCATTAGGTGTTGGGGAGACTTCTTTGAGCAAATAGGTAGCATAGTAAAACAAGTGGTCAGGGGAAAAACAATCTGGTTGCAATGAGTAGAGAAAGATGGGAGGCAAAGAGCATGTTCAGAAGTGTTTCCTGCGTTAGTATGGTGATTATAAGAATAGGAGTGGAAGGACAGATGCTAGTGATATTTAATAGAGGAAGTTGGTAACCTTTGGATGATACGTGTATATATAGGAAGAAGAAAGCAGGGGAAAAGATAATATCAAGATTTTGACTCTGGGTAAATAGTGATGATAACATAAGCGTGGAGCTCAGGCAGGAGGAAGACATGGATTTATTGTTGATGTTGAAAATTTGGCGAAAACTAAGAGTACTTCTAGGGAAAGAGATAATTATCTTTGAGTTTGAGATTTTGGTAAAAGATTTATGTGGAAATACACCATTATAAGTTGAAAATATAGAAATAAGGTAATGAGAGAAGTTAAAGATGGAAATTATTAAGTGCTTTTTCAAAAATATTTATTCCTGGGATGAAATTCTCTCTAATAGAACAATAGTGAGGTCCTTTGTTAAAAGTTTTAAGTTTAGCCTGTGATTTTTTTTAAAGCAACATTTTAAATTATATTTATAAAATAAGGAATAATTTTAAATTATATTCAGAAGTTATATCCAAGAAACAGACTATGATATTTTTAGTGGCTGAAGTATATTCACTCTTACTTTGAGATTCTATTTCTCCATCCATTTCCCGTCCAGCCTATCCTAGTACTTTTCAAACTGCATTGTAATTTGTTTATCTATATTCTTTACTAAGCTACGTCTCCTAAGGATTAGTGTGAGATTCCTGACTGATTTAACTTTCCTTCTTCAGGGCGTAGTACTTAGTAAGCATTCAGTAAATTTACAGTCCATAAATACACATTTGTTGAGTTGGATTAAATATACACTGTTGATAGGCTAAGTGCAGAAGAGACCAAGATGAGTAAATAATAACCCCCCAAGAAGCTCATCATCTTTGGGGGAATAAGCATATATTTTAATAGAGGCAATGTGTTGAGTATAGTATTTATTGAGGATCTTTTGACTGGTGATAATGAACAAACCCATGCCCCCAAGTTTAATCAGGACAAAAAACTTCAGACAAACCCGTGGCACCACTGATGTATTCTTTATCTTCATGAGATCCACTTTTTTAGCTCCTACAAATGAATGAGGACATGAGATACTTGTTTTTGTGTGGTTGGCTTATTTCACTTAATCATAGTGACCTACAGTTTTATCCATGTTGCTGCAACTTAATAAGGAAATCCAAAAAGGTTTATTCTTCTTTATGGTTGAATAATATTTTATTATGCATGTATATCATATTTTATTTATTCATCAGTTGATGGGTACTTAGGTCGGTTCCACATTTTGACTTTTGTGAAGCTGTCCTAATTTACATTCCCACCAACAACTTTCTCAACATTCTCACAAACATCTGTTATTTTCTGTTTTTTTTAATCTTTCTTTTCTTTCTTTCTTTCTTTTTTTTTTTTTTGAGGCAGAGTCTTACTTTGATATCCTTGGTAGAATGCTATGGCATCATAGCTCAAAGCAACTTCAAACTATTGGGTTCAAGTGATCTGCTTGCCTCAGCCTCCTGAGTATATGGGACTATAGGCACCTGCCACAACACCCAGCTATTTTTTAGAGCTGGGGTCTTGCTCTTGCTTAGACTGGTCTTAAACTCATGAGCTCAGGCAATCTACCCACCTCTGCTTCCCAGAGTGCTGGAATTACAGGCCTGAGCTATTGCTCTTGGCCTTATTCTCTGTATTTTTGATAAAAACCATTTTAACTAGGGTGAGATGATATCTCATTGCGGTTTGGTTTGCATTTCTGTAATGATTAGTGACATTGAGCATATTTTCATATATTTATTGGTATGTCTTCTTTTGAGAAGGGTCTGTTAGATCTTTTGTCCATTTTGAAATTGGATTATTTGGGGTTCTTTTTTAACTAGAGTTATTGCATTTCCTAATATATTCCTGTTATTAATCCCTTGTCATATGGATAATTTTCAAATACAGTAGAACCTCCATGGTTGACCACTTTCCCGACATTGACAAACTTCTTAAGTTACTTAACCTAATTTTCATAGACAGACATATACCATATGTAAGTATCAGTATAGTAGGCCTAGTTCCTTACATTGACCACCTTCATATGTCGACCAGTTTATTACAGTTCCATGGGTGGTCAACTTACAAAGATTCTACTGTATTTTCTTTCCTTCTATAGGTTGTCTTTTCACTTTGTTAATTGTTTCCTTTGATATGCAGAAGCTTTTTAGCTTGATGTAATCTCATTTGTCTATTTTTGCTTTGGTTGCCTGTGCTTTCAAGGTTGTATACAAAAAATCTTTGCCTGGGCCAGTATCCTGGAATATTTCATCAGTGTTTTCTTCTAGTAGTTTCATAGTTTTAGGTTTTAGATGTATTCATTTTGATTTGATTTTTGTATACAATGAGAGATAGGAGTCTAGTTGCATTGTTATGCATATGGTTATCTTATTGCAAGCTGTCCTTTCCCCAAGGAATTTTTTGGTGGTGGTGGTGGCAGATGGTATAGATTTAAGAATGTTTGTTTACTGAGGGGAAAGAGCCAATAGGCAAGGAGATATAGGAAAGAAAAGTGATAATTGAAGGAATAGTGTCATGAGGAGGTAAAATTAATAAATACTATACTATATCTATAAGCTATATCTATCTACAGATGATATTATTAGAAATTAACTACTATTGGAGGTGACTCTATTAATTACATTATAGAAACTGAGAGGGCATTGAAAGGGGAAGAGAAATATGAACTCTGCCATGTCTATAGCAGTTCCTATAGCATCAGTTATTCAATAGTTTTCATGGTTTTCAAAATAATCTTACCCATAGTTAAGGGCTCTCTAAAAGGGGAAAAAAATTGTAAAACTAGTATTTCAAGACCTAGTGATTCCTGGTCATTCTGTGTATCAAAATTCTATAGCTAGAAAAGGGTTTGGATAGTTTTTGAATTTATGAAACTTTGATATACACATAATTTCAAAGTTTAATCCC